ACCTGGGCATGCACACACGCGATATGAAGAGTTATTATTATGCAGTAACGACGTCGCATATCTGACCGTCACATATCCGCCCTGACCAATTGGACCCCGCGCGATGTTTGCGCGCAATGTAACCGTCACTCTCTGCTGACGTTTACCGTCAGCCATTTTCAATCCACTGCTGGATGAAGGCCTCCCCCACCCCCCCCCCCCCCCCCCCCCCCCAAAGCCGCCACCACCAACACCTCTCAGAATCAGAATCTTCATTTTATCCTGGAGGAATCTGACGCGCTACAAAGCTGTCCCGGACGCGTTCCTCTCCCTCGGCCGCCGCTCCCTCGTCTTGAACGCCGTCCACCATCCCTCCTGGCCGTGGACGCGTCCAAGCCCAAGCCCCACTCGTTTTCCTTCATTGTCGCAGCGACTCGCAGCGTAATTCCGTTAGTCTTGACCGTCGTCCACCATCCCTCCCTCGGTCGTCCTCGCAGCAGCGGCAGATTCTGGCTGGTCGTCAAACAACGCCGGCGGTCACCGCATCATCGCGTGGCGCTTTCAGATGCGCTGCTCTGCGTCCGTCTGGAACGCTCTTTATTTCCGATATTAGGAAGCCACTGGAGCTATGCACTTTCAAATCATCTAGATTGACAAACTAATTTCTTTAAAACTACTTTGTGTTGAGTTCGTTGTCCTCCCTGCCCGCACCTCTGTTTCGCACAGTTGGCTACGTACGGTGCGAAAGAAGTTCAACATACATACATCATCCCTTCGAGCCATATCCTGCTCAAGACTTGCTTGATTTTTTTAATACCGCCAAGATGATGTCTCCAATGTGCTTTTGTTCTCTGTGTTCTGCTCGCTGTCTCTCAGTTGTAGCTCCCTCCACGCTTGCCCGAGCACTGTTCTGAATTGCTTTCAATGATGGCCATGCTCCCGGTCATTAAAACGCACTTGCATAACCCAAGAGAATAATAATTACATTGATACTTATAATACATTACCGTTCATATATAAAGTGCTTTTCTAAGAAAGGCATTCAAAGCACTAGTAAATCATTTTATTTTACTAGATCAGGCCCACCGAGCTCTATAGATCGTTTTCAGAATCGACCTGGCCCGTGGAAATTTATAGCACCAACCAAATACTCTAAAAGCAACGTTGATTCTAAATGCGGAAGGAAAAACCGGAGGACCCGGAGAAAAATCCACACGACCACGGGGAGAAAGAAACACGCAAACTCTAAATAATACAGCAGCAGGCGTCAGGGTGAGGATTGAACCCACGACCTCCTGTATCCCAGGCGAGGTAGTTAACATCTTGCCACCGTGGCGAGACAAGGATGGCGGTAAAGCAAGGGCAGGGGAAGGAATTAAATATACAAAGAGGGGACCGCCCCCCACCAAAAAAACACAACAACCCCACAGGGCCCCCCTCAAACGTAAACGTTGCCCTGTGTGACCTGCACGAGAGGGGTTTGAGTTGTGGGGGAGGGAGAAGGCACAAGACTGGGTGGGGGTGGCCGTGTGTGCCCAGTCACACACACTCACCACACTAAGCCCCTGTGTGTCAAGGGAGGCTGCTGCGTTGCAGTTAAAAGGGGGCTTAACAACGTGTCCCCTTCAGACCCCCGTCGGAAAGTATGATCCCCTAATAACGTGCACGTATAGTGCGTTATTTTTTGAGTTGTACGCCTTTTGGCGTCATCTGGTCCAACACCAATGGTTTCTAGGCTCTAAGAAAAGCTGTCTCAGGTGTGGACCAATCAACTTTAAGGACAGTGCATATAAATATCATTATCAGAGTTGTTTCTTTTTGTTTACATTTTGACTGCTTGTGTTGTGGTTATTGCAAACATGATCCCTTGTATAAAGGTGTCAGTTTTTGTACCAGTTGAAAGGATAAAAACCTATTACTATAACTAGGGCCGAGTTTTTTTATACAGCGTATATATATGAAGTACACTCCGGTATTTGATTACCGCGATGATGGTGATGAGTGGAGGCACACGCAACGTTAAGAAGAGTCAGAGCGGGGCGTTGTGGTGAAGCGTTCATACCCCGGGCAAGAGAATTCCACTCAGGATTTGAGAGACGTGAACTTGAACAGAGGCCCACGGACTGCACAGCCCGCAGCAAGGGTTCAGACTCGCGCGTGATGCATAATAACCACGTGGAGTGAACGGTGGCACGCCACGGTTAAAACGTCACGCGGTCAAGAATTTGAGAGGGATGACGAGTGGGTTTCAGAGACGTGTCTGGGGATATGCGTTTGATGAACAGCAGCATAATAATGATACTTTTCTCGTTATGTTTGTATTTTTTTCTCTCGTTATTTACGTATTTCTTTTTGTTAGTTAAGATTTTCTCAGGGCGAGTTTTGTTTTTGTATTGCGTGTGTAAGGGACTGGCTAATTGATGTTGCAGGTTTGTGGGATGCAATTGCATGAATGACGCTGCATAAATAATAACAACAATTTCATTATTTTAATAATTGCACTATTTCATTTTATATAGCGTCATTTTATATTACATTTTCAATTAAATTATAATAAATACATATTAAATGCTCTCATTATTATACTTCACAATAATTTTATTGCATGAATGACGCTATATAAATTGTAATCATTATTAATAACAAATAAATAGTTGGACTTGTGACGTACACGTCATTCGCTCGCTCAAATAGAAAGAGAGAGGACGACTCAGAGGCGCGAGGAGAAACACCACGAGGGGAAAAAGCGTCAACCACGTGGTCAACCACGTGGTCAACCGGCGGCAAATCACCCCCCACCCCAAGCTCTACGGTCCTCTATGCATTAGGGAATTACTGGCTCATGAATAAGCGCTCATATCAACTCTACACATCAAGCAGTTGCTTGGCTCATTAATGCGCGCCCATGCTTGCGGGAGCAAACCGGAGCACGCGGAGAACACACACGCGTGCGAGGGAGCAACACACTATCCCTCCCACGTGTCTGCTGCACCACATTCTCGTGTCGAGACGCGGCAAGAGTTGCCTCCTCCTCCTCCACGACGCCCAAGGGAGTTTGACAACATTGTTGTGCGATCCGCCAACAAACAAAAAACATCGCCGCTGTCTCAAACAGTGCGGAATTACAAGCGGCCACCACCAAAGACAAAGATCCCCCCCCCGTATAGCCTTAGCAGACCATTGGGGCAAGTGCTGTTAGCGAGTAGCACCACCTCTGAAGGCCGGGACGACACAACGATGGGGTGGGTGGGCCAGCAAAGCACACCCCATCCACCACCGGGACGATTGGCCACACTTGTTAACGCTGTTAGCCACCGTCATTAAGTGTTGCAGTATACATCTTCTTGGTTCTTTCGGTAAAGTCACGCAGAATGGAAATAATAAAATAATAAAATATAACATTATAAAATAATTCTCACGACGTTTCGGCCACAACGCAAGCAGCCGTCCTCAGGCCGAAACGTCGTGAAAATTATTTTATTATGTTTAATTTTAATATTTTCATTATTTCCCTTCTACGTCACTTTACCGAAAGAACCAAGAAGATGAATCCCTGCAGTCACGAAAGCTTTACATCGAAATTTGTTGCAGTATAATTGCTCGTCCAGGACTGAAGCGCGCCCAGTTAGCGACATCACGTCTGCCCTTGCTCAGAACACAACGCAGTGTTGTTGTGCATAACGTTGCTGTCCTAAGGGGCCGTCCATAAATGACGTCACGCGATTTTGGGCGATTTTTGACGCCCCCCCCCCTCGTCACAAAAAATCAGACCCCCCCTCAAATGACGTCACAAAGCTCTGTCCCCCCCCTCCCCCCCCCCAAAAAAACATGCTTAAAATCGCTTTAAACTATTGTCATTGTAGTGCGTATTTAATGTGGCGCTGCACTCTGATGTTGTAGGAGAAAACACTTGTTTAAAAGTATATTTAATTAAGTAGAATGTGTTGTCTATATTTATTTAAAGTTGCGCATCTTGATGTGACGTCACCTTTCTCACCCCCCCCCCCCTCGTCACACATCGTCACAAATGTGACCCCCGCCCCCCCTAGGTGCGTGACGTCATTTATGGGCGGCCCCAAAGAACACTAAATCTGAGCCGGCCGTGTCTCCTCTCTCTGCCCGTCGGGCAAATCTGCCCGAAACGTGCCGGCAAAAATCCAACAACTTTTTTTTCCCTTCAAGGGCTAAACCTTCAAAAGTGTACAACTAAATTCGGCTTAAACCAGGCCACCGACGAAGTTAGTCCGGAAACAATGCCCCAATAAAACTACAGGGCCCTTCCGTGGCACACGGCTAAATAACGTCTGACCACCACCACCACCCGGCCTCCTCCAACACCACACCACCCCCTCCTGGGGAGGACCTCATCCGTCGCGCCATCTATAAACTATTGACGCTCGCTCCCAGCTGCTTGGAAGCCAGACAAACAGGGCGCTGTGCCATGCCAAGCCCGGCCACTCACCCGAAGTGAGTGGCCAGGCCAGGCCACTCACTCACTCAGCCGACGTAGTGGCCAGGTCAGGCCACCCACTCACTCAGCCGACGTAGTGGCCAGGTCAGGCCACCCACTCACTCAGCCGACGTAGTGGCCAGGCCACTCACTCAGCCGACGTAGTGGCCAGGTCAGGCCACCCACTCACTCAGCCGACGTAGTGGCCAGGCCACTCACTCAGCCGACGTAGTGGCCAGGTCAGGCCACCCACTCACTCAGCCGACGTAGTGGCCAGGCCACTCACTCAGCCGACGTAGTGGCCAGGTCAGGCCACCCACTCACTCAGCCGACGTAGTGGCCAGGCCACTCACTCAGCCGACGTAGTGGCCAGGTCAGGCCACCCACTCACTCAGCCGACGTAGTGGCCAGGTCAGGCCACCCACTCACTCAGCCGACGTAGTGGCCAGGCCACTCACTCAGCCGACGTAGTGGCCAGGTCAGGCCACCCACTCACTCAGCCGACGTAGTGGCCAGGCCACTCACTCACTCAGCCGACGTAGTGGCCAGGCGGGGCCACTCACTCACTCACCCGACGTGATCGTGCTGTTGGCGTCATCGTGGGCGTCGACTCGCTGTCCCTGGCCGTAGTCGACCAGGTTGATACCCTCGATGCTGTCATACTGCGACTTCTCCTTGTCGCTGAGTGGCACCACGGTGAACGTGGGCATGTCGGACACGGCCTCCCCCTCTCTCGTCTTCCCTGCCCTGCCCCGCTCCTTGGGGAGAGTCAATCTCGGGCGACCCCCACGAGCGTGGACACGGCCTCTCGCTGCTCAGCACAGGACCTTGTTCAGTCCGGCCCCCCCGGTTAACACAGACACTTCGCTAGACACTTCGCTAGACACTTGCTCGGACAGACAGGCAAGAACACTCCTTAAAACACCGCTCGCTCTCTCTCTCTCTCTCGGTTCCGTTCGCGCAGTTAACAACAAATCTTTCCGGCGGCGTAAAGTTCACTCCCTGCCTCTTCCTCCCTCCCCCATCCCCCACATGTCCCTCTGGCTCTCCCCCCTTTCTCCCTCTCCGCATGCCAACGTCATGCGCTCACTGCCCATATTAGGGCAGCCGGGGGCCGGCCCCGTTGCGCTCCGTGTGACGCCTTCTTCGACGCTGCCCATCAACAAAGACAAAGGTCCCCCGTGTAGCCTGCACGGAATTTTATGGGGTGGGGCAAGTGCTGCTAGCGAGTTAGCGCGCCTATAGAGGGGAGTTGGTGGGTGGCCAGCACCACACACCCGGCCGCCTTTGTCTCCCCTGCGGCGACGATATTTACACACCACCGCACCAAGTGACTCGTTTGAGGCAGGGTCCGACCTATGGGATGGCCCAGGGCCGGTTCGCATAATCGTCTCTGGTATCGGCCGTGAGCGGGAATCGATCCCGGGTCGCCGGGTTCGGAGCAAAACGCGTTAACCGCTGCGCCACCGCTCCCCGTAGCCCTGTCCACCTCCTCCCTCTGCTCCCCACTCTCCTCCCCCGATGTCGGCTGTGGCAATGGACAGAGGAATGTCGGAGCAGGAAGCGACCAACTTCTTGCACAACCCAGATTTTAACTCAACGTCGGCGGTCATTCGCCCCCTGATCACGCTGCTATCGCTACGACCATGGTTACTGTTCACGCGAACTTCAGACGAGGAGGATTCCTTCCCCTCCTCCTGCCGAGGACTCGTCTCATGCACAGGGTGTTCAGCCACCAACCCGGCAGGGTTACAACTCACCCACCCACTAACTCACTCACCAACCCACACACTCGCTCATCCTTCCACTAACTCACTCACCAACCCACTCGCTCGCTCGCTCACCCACCCACCAACTCACTCACCAACTCGCTCCCCCACCCACCCACTTGCTCACCAACCCACTCACTCGCTCACCCACCCACCCACCACACTGCAGGGTTACAACACACCCACCCACCCACTAACTCACCAACCCACTCACGCGCCCACCCACCCACCCACTAACTCACCAACCCACTCACTCGCCCACCCACTAACTCACTCACCAACCCACTCACTCGCCCACCCACTAACTCACCAACCCACTCGTCACACTGCAGGGTTACAACACACCCACCCATCAACTCACTCACCCACTCACCCACTCGCTCACCCACCCACTAACTCACTCACTCACCAACCCACTCACTCGCTCACCCACCCACTAACTCACTCACCAACCCACTCACTCGCTCACTCACTCGCTCACCCACCACCCACCACACTGCAGGGTTACAACACACCCACCCACTAACTCACTCACCCACCCACCAACTCACCAACTCACTCACTCGCCCACCCACCAACTAACTCACTCACCAACACACTCGCTCACCCACCCGTCACACTGCAGGGTTACAACACACCCACTCACTAACTCACTCACCAACCCACTCACTCGCCCACCCACTCGCTCACCCACTCACTCTCTCACCCACCAACTCACTCGCTCACCCACCCACCCACCACACTGCAGGGTTACAACACACCCACCCACTAACTCACTCACCATCCCACTCACTCGCCCACCCACCCACTAACTCACTCACTCGCTCACCCACTCACTCGCTCGCTCACCCACCCACCACACTGCAGGGTTACAACACACCCACCCATTAACTCACTCACCAACCCATTCACTCGCCCACCCACCAACTCACCAACCCACTCACTCGCCCACCCACCAACTAACTAATTCACTCACCAACACACTCACTCACCCACTCGTCACACTGCAGGGTTACAACACACCCACTCACTAACTCACTCACCAACCCACTCGCTCGCTCACCCACCCACCAACTGACTCACCAACCCACTCACTCGCTCACTCACCAACCCACTCACTCGCCCACCCACCAACTAACTCACTCGCCCACCCACCAACTAACTAACTCACTCACCAACCCACTCGCTCGCTCACCCACCCACCAACTGACTCACCAACCCACTCACTCGCTCACTCACCAACCCACTCACTCGCCCACCAACTAACTCACTCACCCACCCACCAACTAACTAACTCACTCACCAACCCACTCACTCGCTCACCCAACCACTAACTCGCTCACCAACCCACTAACTCACTCACTCACCAACCCACTCACTCGCTCACCCACCCACCCACCCCACTGCAGGGTTACAACACACCCACCCACTAACTCACTCACCAATCCACTCACTCGCCCACCCACCCACTAACTCACTCACTCGCTCACCCACTCACTCGCTCGCTCACCCACCCACCACACTGCAGGGTTACAACACACCCACCCACTAACTCACTCACCAATCCACTCACTCGCCCACCCACCAACTCACTCGCCAACCCGCTCGCTCGTGGGGGATTTAAAGACGCTTCGCCAAATTATGCGGGGAACTTCTGCCGATGTCGACCGGGACGCGTCACGGCAGTGGGAAAAATCCTCGCATTTTTATTTTCCAGCTGCTATTCTACGCGTGGGAAAGAATGCATCATTCCCCGTATTCTCTCAGAAAGCCACATTTAAGTAAATAACCTAGTTGTAATACAGTACTGTATCTACACATTGGCGCGGGGGGGGGGGGGGGGGTGGCGACTCAGCCCATCATCCCTCACGGGGGTCGATAAAACGCATACCAATTGGTGGGTCAAGACAAGAGAAAGAGCCGTTCGTTATTTCTCAATCCGCTTGTCCTGGTGAGGGTCGCGGCGGCAGCGGCGTGTTGAGTCATGGCGGTCCACACCTCCCTGGCGGCAGACTCCAGCACTACATCACTACTATACACTACTATACACTATACACTACTATACACTATTATACATTACTATACACTATTATACATTACTATACACTACTATGCACTACTACACTATACACTACTATACACCACTACACTATATACTACTATACACTACACTATACACTACACCACTATACACTATACACTACACCACTATACACTACACCACTATACACTACACCACTATACACTACACCACTATACACTACACCACTATACACTACACCACTATACACTACACTATACACTACACTATACCACTATACACTACTATACACCACTACTACACTATACACTACACTATACACTACTATACACCACTACTACACTATACACTACACACTACTATACACTACTATACACTACGCGATCTACTGCACGACTATACATTCCAATACTATACATTACACTATTATACACTATACACTACTATACATTACTATACACTACACTACTATACACTACGCGATATACACTGTTATGCACTGCTATACACGCCACTACTATACCACTACACTACCATACACTACCATACACTATACAATACTATACACTACACACGACTATACATTACTATACACTATTAAACACTATATACTACGCGATATACTGCACGACTATACACTGCTATGCACTGCTATACACTCCACTACACTCCACTACACACTACCATACACTTCACTACTATACACTGCTATACACTACTATACACTAGACTACACTATACACGACTATACACAGACTCCCCAGATGTTCCCAGGGCAGCCGGGCGACATCGTCCCGCCGGCATGCCCTGGGCCAGGAGTGGTTGCTCTATGGATGTACTCGCCCAACGCCATAGGAATGTGGAATGTTTGACGCATTGGATCCACTGGCGTACGAATTGAAATCCCAGTGTGGGGACGACTCAGCCCATCATCCTCGTGGAGGAAGGGTCGATAAAATAGATGACGCTTTGTAAGGTAACCGAGGTCGCGGTGTCTAAACTCACCCCCCCCGGGCCGTGGTAACTTTTGGTCTTTCCCTTTGATGTAGACTCGTCCATTGTGACTGTCACATGGGGAGTGGGGGGGTGAATTTTGCTCAACCCACCACGTGGCGGCGTCGCAGCGACACCACGAGGGAGCTCCCCAAAGTGCACCCCAACGCAGCGGAACCCAGTGATGTCCTTTTACAAAGTGCACCCAAAAAGAGGAGACTGCAATTATTTATTACTCCCACATGGTGGCATCACAGAGACAGAATCATCGTAGTTATTTATACTGGTAGGAACCTCCTGGTTACACCAGCCCACAGGGGATTATTGTGTCCGTCGTGCAGGGAGGGGCTGGGTGGGGAGGGGAGGGTGGGTGGGTGGGTGGGGAGGGGTGGGTAAGTGGGTGGGGAGGGGTGGGTGGAGAGGGGCTGAGTGGGGAGGGGCTGGGTGGGGAGGGGCTGGGTGGGGAGGGGCTGGTCACCCCGTGGTGCCCTTATAAAACTCAACGTTTAACCTACTCACGCCGGCTTGTGCCCGTCCTCACAGTCGGGCATATTTGCAGAATACACCACGTCGCCGTTGACCCTGGCCATTGACCGAGCAACCCAACGTTCCTACCAGCTCCCTCCGCAGGAATGTGTTACTATAGGAATCCGATGAGATTTAAAGCTCATTTTTTCACAGATGTCCAGTAGGGGGCAGGTCAGAACGTTATAACAATACAAAATCACGATAGGAGTGCAAAGTGTAGGAACGGTACGCGAGTCACTTAAACATATACAAATACAACTTTTTTTTACGTGAAAATTTATCGCGTCAAAATAATCTAAATAATTTTGACATTGGGAGCGAGCTTCAGACGCACGTGTCAAAGTGCACCCCAAACGAAGTGCAGTCATGCACGTACCGGTATTCATTCTAGATTTGAAGCTTTCGTGACTGCAAGGATTCATACTCTTAGGTTTTTTCGGTAAAGTCACGTGGCTGTGACGGTTCCACCTGAAGACGGAGGCTTGTGTTGCTTCCGAAACGTCGTGAATGTTTTAATTTGTTTTATTTTACTTTAATTAAAAAAAATTTACCTACGTGACTTTACCGAAAAAACCTAAGAGTACCGGTATTCACTCTGTCATATTTTGACACACACTTTTATTGAACTTGCCCTGTTGTCCGTTTACATTGTTGCAAATCTTTGACGCT